TTTTTTTTTTTTTTTTTTTTTTTTTTAAAAAAATAAAATTTTTCCCTCTTTCCCCGGAAAAAAGGGGGGGGGGGGGGGGGCGATTGTACACGGTAAATTGCCACTTCGTCTACAACCAATTGGTCTACTAGCCTGACCTCTGTTTGACCTGGCTCGTTGAGCTGTTTCTGACTAACCCTAACCCTAACCCTAATCCAATCCTAACGAGCCAGGGCAGACAGAGGTCAGGGGGTCATGGACTCTATTGATTTACTGCCAATTAGACCAAGTGAACAGTGGACCAAATGGTTGTAGACGAAGTGGCAATTTACCGTGTACAATCGCCCCCCCCCCTCCTACTTTCAGCGGGGAAATGGGGAAAAATTTCATATTTTACAGATAATAAATACTGAACATAAATCCGTAATTGCTATTCATACTTTCCTAATGTATTGTTACACAAATAGAAAGCGACATACATCTACTGTAAAATGTCTGTAACTCGTTCCAATAATGACATTATTTGCCTGAAACTCAGATGGTTAATTTTGGACGCATTCCCCATATATGATTTTTTTTTTCAAAATCCCCAAATCACGTCTTATCACTGCTCACGAACGTTAAATCTCTGTTTTATTCAAAATTAGAATAGACCTATTGAGAGTTGGGATATTGAATTTTCACGGGGATTGAATGGGAAAAATTCAATTTCATCACGCTTTGGGGGGAGGGGTGCTGAGACCCAACCGGAAGTATATTTCCGATTTCGTATAAGGAGTAAAAATATAAACATTTTGGTTCAAATCTGGTTGGTTTTCTCATACTTTTTTTTAATCAAAATTTCAGGGGGAGATGATTCCAGTGCTGTAGTTGTCAGTGGCGGGTCCAGGGGGGCACAGGGGGCGGGTCGCCCCCCTTGAATTTTCAGGGCAAGGGTATTTTAGCCTAGGTAAGTCTGCACTGCATGGTAACCCCAGTGTACCCCAGTGTACCAGTGTAATAATGGTAGACGTGGTTAGGTTAGACAGATTAGAGGGTCATTGTGAAATGGGGGGTAGGACGCGGTCTGTGAGAACGGTTACATGTGCGTGCAGAATGTGGTATGAGTTTTGGGGGGAATATAGAGAAGAGCGATGTAGGAGGGGGAGTCGGGTTCTGGTCGCGAGAGTACGCGCACGCGCGTGTGCACGGGTCTTTGTCTGTGTGTAAGGAGATGTGATGTGTGTAAGATATTAAAGGTTATACAGTTTACCACACAAGTTCTGGACTTGGATCTACTTCATCATTTCTACGTGAACTCACATTCTAACGTTACATTTTGGTTGCCGTGACAGTCCAAAACCTGGGTATCCCTTTGCGGACACAACGCAAGTTATTTCATTATTATATCGATCTACGGGCCAGAAACGAAACAGAGGAAGAATGACGGAGCGAGAGAGGGAGAGAGGGACGGAAAGAGCGAGTTCCGATGACGAGATGGGAGAGAGTATAGCCGCAACACTATATCGATCTATGGGCCAGCAACGAAACAGAGGAAGAATGACAGAGAGCGAGAGAGGGAAAGAGGGACGGAAAGAGCGAGTTCTGATGATGAGATGGGAGCCAGGCTGCGCTAGCGCCGACGACGATGACGATGGCGACGAGGATCGGCTGGAGATCGTGGAGAAGGAGGACCGTTGCGGCCGCCGCGCCGCGCCGTGTCAACGAAGAGGAGAAGCGACGAAGCAAGGAAGAGCGGAACAAGAACGCAACTTACAAGGAACAAGAACGCAAGCGATAAACGAGGCGGAAATACTTGAAATGGGTGAGTGAAACAAACTGTGTCGGCATATAGTCGTAAGTAAAGTTAAAAACGATAGTTTCAAACCACAGCGTATAATATACAAGGTGATAGTGAAA